ACCTGAATCAGATCTTGGGTCCACTCTCGAGTGTTTTCAGACCAGGTCTGCATTAATTTAACTCACAATAAGTCTATCTTTATTCAGCAATTTCAAACACAACAAATATATAATACATTGCGGCTTTGTCATCATCTAGAGATAAAGCTCAGGTTTTGCTTTGGCTGAAATAGCCACAGCCAAACTCAGCCTCACTCTAGGATGTGTGTATGTCCAAGCTTGAAGTAATAATAACTTTATTTGTATAGCACTTTTCAATAAAAGTAGCAAAGTGCTTCACAAAAAAAAAACACTCTGGAAGGTTGCTATTAAGGAGGCTGAACAAGCCGGCTGGGCATACAATTTCCAAGCAGTGGACATTGGCTGCAGAGGGATTGTAGCTACGTCAGCAACAAGGCTACTCTGCAAGATGGAAGTGCAACAGAAGACCCACCAATAGATGGCCAAGAGCTGCTGAAAAGAGCAGTCAGTCGCTCTGGATTTGGAGAAAATACTACACCTGGGCCCTCAGTTAAGTGGATCACATCCAGATATGTACATTGAAATATCGAGGAATGTGTATATCTACTTGATAAGCCAACAACTATCAACACTCCCTCAACGAACCAATCCAGTATAAGCAGCATGTCTTTCTCAGGTGTGTGATGAGGGGTATTAAAGTCTAATCCTGCATAAAAGATCTGTCAAGCATCTCTTTAACCCACAAAACTTCAATTTAAATTCCAGTGGCTATGACAAATATATCAATCACAGGTTTGTTTGAAAAATGAATCAAAAGTAAAAGAATGGTTGAGAATATTAACATCAGTACTGCTGTGCTAGAAACTCCATTTGAATTTACTATGTAAATTTGGTTTACATCTAGTAAAGTGGTGGATCCAGGATTTTTTGTGTCACTCCCCCATGCAAGCATTGATGGCATCAGACATGTTAGTTAAACTATTACATATAAAGTAGCTGAATTTCCCACTAAACAATTTAAGTTCAGTTCAGTGTCAGTTGATATACAAGCAGTTAAAGGAGATCGTCATTTCTAAGTCGAAAGGAGATTAGCTGAAATGTCAAATGATATGAAGCAGAAATACCTGGCCGAGGATCCATTAGAGAGTTCATAGTGGGGATATCCAGCTTGTTTATTCCCCTACAACCAAACAACATGTTGACATGGAACACAGAAAAAAAACTGACTGACAGGAAAGAGCAACTGCTCGAATGTCAGAGATTGACGATAGAAGTCTGACGGTGAAGACTAGACATAAAGCAAATGGGATCAACAAAGCCAAATCGAAAAATAAGTTAGAATTCACATTGATTCTGAAATAATAAGAAAATGATGCTCAAATCCTCAGAAATATAGACAATTATTTCTAGGTTTAAAGTATTAGGTGCAATTGGCAAATTTTTAGGCCTCAAGAAAGTTGAGATAAGTATTGTGTATATTGCATATGTTACCATGATGCCACCAAGCAATATTAAGACAATGCATTTCAGATACTTTCCCCTCAAAATTTACTTCATAGCTCCAATGCATTTATTGAACATTGGGTTTTTCTTTGCTTCTTTTCCGAGCCCAATCAAGAGCATGCTGAGCCAGAACAGCGACATAGCATATTTCCATTTTTGTAATTTGGATTTGAAACATTTTTGATCTGGTTTGTCTTGTCCAGTCAGTTTCTAGTCTTAGCAAAGCTTTGTAATTTTAGTTAGCTACTTAGGTTAAAAGGTCTCTGGCCTATGGCAACTACCGTCTGGGTTCCAGCCAGGGAAGTCTCAGCAGTACATCAGCACTAATTGAAGTAGGCAAAGCCAATTATTTCTATCCTGATATGGATGACTGGGTTGATACCATTACAAGAATTTTAATCTTTAAAATCCTTCATCAAAACTCCATCATCTGTTATCACCATACAATGCCTCGCCTAAGCATACCGTAATTATCTTTTACCATCATTCAAGTTATCTTATTGTTCATTTCAGCCCCCGTACTGTGTATCTTTGATTAGTTATCAGTCGTTGCATCTATGTTAGTAGATAATTGCAAATAACCTTCCTTAATTTGGAACCAGTTGTTGCCTGTATGTTCCTTTGAAGTAAAGAATGGGAATCCATTGAATTGGATATCATGGCTCCTTATATGAGAGTGATCCATTTAATTAAATTATCTAAATTTGCTTCAGTAGGAGCTGTTACCCCTTTATGGGTACATATTAAATCCTGCCATGATGCCACATGTAACAGATAACGGCAGTTTCAGTTAAAGTGATGAAAGCACATGAAATTTCAGTTGAAGCGTAGGCCACAGAGGGACGTTTCACATGAAGTACAGTAATGTAAGGTCAGTGAAAGTGAAAGTATCGAAAGCAGTTAAAATATCAGTTATAGAGATAGAGATGAAAGAAGCTGAAACATTTGTACCTTATACTTTGTAAAGCCCTTTGGTCAACCAAGTAGTTTTAAATGTGCTATATACATTAAGTTGACAGTGACATTGACATATGGCTGAAATTTAAATTGAAGTGAATGAGACGTTTCAAGTGTTGCAGTAGTTGCAGCGTAAGCATTAACAGCAACAGAAACTGAAAGTAGTTGAGTTGTCGGTTAAAAAGCAGAATTCACTAATCTGTTTGATGATTCATAGAAAAAAAAATGGGTGAAAAAGTGATAACATAGTTAACCTAAGTTTAAAACTATGAAATGGAAAGGATGCAAACAGATCAAAAGTAACAGGTAAAGGTAGTTTCATAATTGCAGAGGTGAAAGTCATGGATAACATTTTTTGGAGCTAAGAACATGACAAGGAAAGCAGAGAAGCTGGTATGGCTCCCTGGAGGTTCAAAGTAGAAGCACACAGTCACTACTGTGGCTCACATTTGCTATGTGCATGACTTTAAAGTTTTTACCTGCACAACCAAATTGTATTAACATAGTTTTCCTGCACATGACTGCTCTATGCCTGCAACTGGATAACTTGGAGAGAGCAATTGTAAACTGGCAGTTTATATATATTATAAGACAGTGTATAGTAGTGTTAGCCACAGAAAATCAGACTCAGAACAGGGGACATAACACATACTTAGATGTCGTCCAATCTTGACTCAGATAAATACTGATGAATAATTGAAAACTAATAAATCTTGACATAGCATTTTTGTTTCAACCAGCATTTCTAGACTTTGTGGCACTTGGCCATTTTAAAATATTTTGAGACTGTTAAAATGGAGTGGAGTTAAAAAAGAAAAATGAAACTCAAGCAACATTTTTCAATTCAGTCATTTGGAATATTCATTTTGGAAGAGTTTACTTACAACATGTTTAAAGATTTTATTTAGGCCACTATTAGAGTACTGATTATTTAATATCCCACCGCGCTGGGCCCTTTTGAATTCCCTTTGAATGTGTGCAATGCCCTTTTCAAACATATCTGACCTGAAGTAATTCAGCAAGTCAAGTAAAGAGTGGTGTCTAGATTCAGTCCACAGAATCCTGAACTGGAACATCAGTTGTCAATGCCATTCTTGTGAATGCACCCTTTGTTCTGAGTGCTTGAGCAAATGTGTTGTATTGTGTATACAAATCACACCAAATATGAATACTGCCCTCTCCACATGACTTAACGATCAATAATTGGTGATTGTACTTTGTAATTAGGTTCATTCAACTTTGTAGTTAGCATATTAACCAATGAATTGGATATCATATGTAAAAACATGACATTTTGTAAATTTAATTTTAATTAACTATATAAAAGTCTGCTGTTAAGGTCTTGATGCCAGATTCTACAGGGCACCTTTAGAAGTCTGTCTTCACATCCGTTGTACTGTCTGTCTGTCTGTGTGTCCTGACTCTGTGCCTGTCTCTCTGTCTCCTCCTTTGTTGTTTTTCTTACATTCCGCCGCTCTGCAATGACAGGGGCTGCCTGGATTGGTGGAAAGCTAAATTGCTCAGTTTGAGCTCGGTCACGGCTCAGCTCCCCTTGAGATAATGAAATGACAATTAATGGGAAAGCTGTTGCCATTCGCTTATTTGTTCGCTCACTAGTAAAGCAGCAGCATGTGGAGAAGGACAGAAATCACTAGAGTCATCACACACACTTGAAACTGTCCAGCAAACGTTTTCACAGTGAGCGGTTGATTTTGAAAAAAAATAAATGATTCAATTCATATAACATTTCCTGGACGTAAATCACACTCCAATTAAATAACAGTTTATTTAACTGGCAGATATAACGAATGACAAAAATCACAAAACCCATCTTTTCCAGAACTGTGAATAGACATTGCAGGTAGAGAGCTGGATGCAGCTTTGAAGCTGAACCCCATGTAGAAAAGGTATATCCTTTATTAACCCAGTGACACCTGAGTCAATACATTATTTACCATATGCCAGCGGCATACACAGAGACACACAAAGTGCTGGCCTACTGAGATGGTCCCTGACAGAGAAGCAAGATACACATATATTTCCCTGAAAAGAAAGAGCAAACACAGACCCTTGGGCGTCTCATAAAATTTTATGTGAAGTGGAAATTCTTGCTTTCCCCCAAAACACAGAAAAAAGGATCAATATAATTTCTGGTTTTATTTTTTGTCCGTTAATGCATTTCCCTCTTAAAGTCAATACACTTGTAGTATAAAGCTGCACATTTATAACCATTATCACAGTAGAACTAACCCTAGCCAGTTGAATTGAAAAAAATATAAATGTTATTTTGTTTTTGCAAATGTGTTTTGCTGTTTTATGTTTTCTCTCCCAAAATACTATTAATTTAACTGAAGGCAAAAACCACTACACTATGACATGACATTACATCATCTTTGTTATTACGCTAGTGGGGGATGTGATAAAACTGTGAAATCTAGTTAGCAAGGTCCCTGTTTGCATGGCTGATCAAACTAAGCTTCTTGTGAGTGCATTACAAAGCTTAGTTATGTGCACAGAATTAAAAGAGAGCAAAGTGAATGCAAACTGTGGAGCACACGGTCGAAGGGGAAGGTTCATACCTGGTAATGGTTTGCCTTTGCAAGTTCCTGATTGGCTGATTCCACATTGGACGACCCGGTCTGGATGTAGTCTTCAATGCTGTCTGTGAAAACAAAACGGAAATTTGTTAATGGGCCTGAATAATGATAATGATAAAAATAATAATAAATTCCGGTTACTAGTGAAAGACAATTTGAGAAGAATGGTACATATGAGGACACAGAACTCAAGACATCTGACACTTCCTGAATGGTAAATGCACATATTTCCGACTCTGGGCCTCCAGCTTGTAATGCAGACTTCCTGTTACTTTCGATTTGGCAGGCTTGGCTCAAAACCACCCAATCACAGGGCTTCAAAAAATCCAGTCAGAACAAGATCTATGTGTATCTTTTTTTAAATGTTCTCTTCATGAAAAATATATACAATATGAAATGTATGTGTGTTTGGGTCTACACAATCAGGACCTCATGTTCATTATCCATGCTGTACCACAGCGGCCGCACTTCTCAGAACCTGCTCTCCAAAGAAACCAAAGGAAAAACTTCATAAAAGAAAAAAATCTCAGTATTTGATTCATGTTATTTATCTCATTTAAGTGCACTTGTTTCATGTCAGCTTAGTGAGGGTCTGCTTTTTGCTGTCATTTATGGTCTTGTTTCTCTCTCCTCTGCTTTCTGTGTGTCTCAGCCCGTTCCCTCCCACACACACGCACAGCGGACAGGTTGACAACTTGTTAAAGCTTTACAACAAGTTTCATAAATCCCTCTGAAACCGGATGAACAGACGTTGACCTGAAATATCTGAATCTCAGGACTAAATATCAGAGTTTCTTAAACACGCTATCTAGCGACAGGGGAAATGATTTGAGTGGCTCTGCTGCTGATGGCAGGGAAACTAGTCTGAGCCGGGACACGACATTCATAGGAGGATATGCTTATAAGCCAACATAAAGACTGCTTTCTGTTTAAATGCTACCACAGTGTTCTACTTATCACTCAGACATGAAATTGATTAGCGTCTCGCTGTGAATCATGTAACCAAAATTGAGCCTGTTAGCTGGTCCATGTGTCTTTCTTTCATCTGTGGTTCCTTTTGGAGATGAAATAATGAGGGATCGTTTCATTATTCTCAATTCTACAGAAATAATAAAAAAGTCTGTATTCTGAGACCTGCTGAGAACTGCATGTGCCTGTAGCAGGAAGGCAAACAGCTAAACTGGAGACTACAAAAGATTTTAATGATTTCTGAAGCAGAGAACAGCTTGAATGCATTTTTTCTTTGGTTAATCAACATTTACAAGATCTCTGAAGTGCATCGTTCATGAACATTTACAATTATTAGACTGTGAAGAACCCTGAAGAAGGAATTCATTTCCCTGTTCCTGATTAATGGTTTTAGCCGTAGCATTTCAGTTAAAAAAAGATACAAGATAAAGAAAAATATTTTTTGAGGCTGTCAAATGCGGACCATAGCCTGTAGGTTACAACTTAACACAGTATGTTGATAGCATTATTTCAATTAAAATACAGTTTTCCAGCATTTTAAGTATATAGCAATATGAACATCAAACAATTTTAATTTCTTTCCATACCTTATCGACAACATAAATTAGAAAGTGTGATTGTGTGTGCTTCAAAAGTAACTCAAAAATGAATGCATGGAAGGTTTTTCACCAAATTAGGTGGGAGCATCACTTGGGAGAGTGTCCCAGAATAGATTGGTCAAAGGTCAAGATGATTGTGTTTTAATAATAATAATAATACATTTTATTTATAGGCGCCTTGAGGAGGCGGAGGGCAGAGCAGCTGAAGGCTCTAGATCCCATGGTGGTCAGACGGGCAGGTGGTACAGTGAGGTGGCTGGAAGAAGACAATCTGGGGGTGTGGGGGTGTGTGTCAATGTGCAGGAGTTCAGAAAGGTATAGAGGAGCAAGGTTATGGATGGCCTTAAAGGTGTGGAGCAGAATCTTATAAACAATGCAGCATTTGATCAGGAGCCAATGAAGCTGCTGAAGGACAGGAGTGATGTGATTAATGGAGGGGGTTCTGGAAATGATGCGAGCGGCAGAGTTCTGGACTAATTGAAGTTTATGACGGCATTTATTAGGGAGACCAAAAAGAAGGGAATAACAGTAATCAATGAGGGATGTAACCAGGGTGTGGACGAGAATGGAGGCATGTTGGGTGTGAGGGATGGGCCGAGACAATTAATGTTGCATAGGTGAAAGTATGTGGACCGGGTAATATTATTGATGTGGGCTTGGAAAGATAGAGTGCTGTCAAGGATGACACCCAGACTCTTAACCTGAGGGGAGGCAGAAACTAAAGAGTTGTCAATATTGAAGGATAGATTGTCTGATTTAGATGAGGTGGATTTGGTGCCAATTATAAGGAGCACTTACTACTTCGCACGATCATATATACACATTTACGGAGACGACTAAAAGTTCTCTAGCTGTGAATCTGGTGCTGAATCATTCAGACTTTTGTTCATACAGTCCCCCTGCACCCTCAACACAGTACATGATAGCCCACCCCTCTGTGTTACTAAAGACAACTGGTTTACACCATTAAAAGAGCACAGCCTCCTTTCTGGGCTGTCAATACACAGACGTTAATGGGATGAGACAGAATGTGTTTAATGAAGTGGATGGTCAACAATATTTGGAATCACAAAATAGTTACACATACACATGTACAATTGGCCAATAACAGTGAAAGTGCTATTGATTGTTTTGGTGTTGAGAGAGTGGGAAGGCTGCAGCCAGTTCAGAGACTCCTCACTGTTTCATGCTGTAATGACCTCTGATAATTACTGCACTGTCTGAGCTTGTTGAGAATTAACTTCTGAAATTAACAGGAGCAGAGGGTTGAGTGACTTGTGCTGATTGACTTAATGCATTTTCTGGTTCGGTGAGCTGGAGAAGACATGCATGTTGACCCTGTTCTTTTTTAATGATTGATTGATAATGCACTTTGAAGAGTATAGCTCACTGGTAAATCCATAGTTTTTTTAATTCAATCCATATGACCACCAAAAACTCCCCTCAACATAAATACAGTAGTCAACTGTAGTCAGATTGTGAGCACCAGTGGTCGACATATTACATCTCGTATTGCAGAATGTAAGATTGCTCTTAAAACACTAGTAAGTTAGTTGTTTGCCCACTTTGGCCCTCGTAAATT